TCCCCATTCCCCTCTACCCTTACCCCTCCCTACTAAAACTGCCTTATAAAAATAAAATCTTGCCTGCAATAAACGGAACCTTGACGCATCTCAGACTGACTGTCTTTCTTTACGTGCTTGGTTCTCTTTCCCTCTCCCCCCTATTATTCCTAGGTGATGCCTCCTCGAGACCCATAAATTAGCTGGCCTGCAGGACGGGTCAAGGAAATACTGAAAGGAGAAGAGCTTTGGAAATAACAGCACAAGCCCATTCCTGGGACACATATAGGATGCGTGATTTTTTTTTTTTTTCGAGACAGGGTTTCTCTGTGGTTTTGGAGCCTGTCCTGGAACTAGCTCTTGTAGACCAGACTGGTCTCGAACTCACAGAGATCCACCTGCCTCTGCCTCCCGAGTGCTGGGATTAAAGGCGTGCGCCACCACCGCCCGGCTTAGGATGCGTGATTTTAAAAATCACCCCGTTGCCTAAGGTAAAGCCCCATTACCTATGTCGTCAACATGGAGAAGCAGATGTTAACAACTCAAGTCCTCTTTCCTGTCTTCAGTTCTCCTCTCTGGTCATCATCTTCTTCAGTCACAGCCTCCAGAAATCCAAAGTCCCACAAGGACATGAAGACAAATGCTTCTTCCAACAGTCATTTCTCCAGGTGAGTTCTCATCAGCAGAAAACAACAGAGAAGCTGTTTCAAAGCAGATTAAAAAAAGAAAACCAACTAGTAGATTCACTGACTTTGGAAGGAACTCTACTTTATTTCTTTGTATTCTCTGTAGACATTGACAACACAAAATAGTGGGATTCACTGTGAACTCTTAATAAGGGATTGACACAGGTCAATCATGTCTACCACTCTTAAATTATTATTTTAAATATCTATGTCTTCTTCCTATACAGGTCATTTGTCAGAGAGCTACCATGTACAAATCTTCCCATCAGTCAGTTTTTCTTGTTTTTCATGTTCTTCATTTCTGGTGATACTCCATGGCTTTCACAGCCCTTTTACAAATAATTCTCATTGATGTTCCAATGTTATAATTAAAGAGGTAAAATAAGTCGTGATAAATAGATTTCAAAATCCCATTTTGGTATAATTGTGCTGATCTGGGTACAGTGACGAAGATTTGGGCTGTTTAGGTCTCTACACTGTGCCATACCTTCACAGAGTAACAATGTACAGGGATGGAAAACAGATGGACACACTGGCAGGGGTCCTGTGGGGGGTGAGATTAAGGATGACAGGAATCTACTTCTTCATGCTTAAGTCATAATCCAAGCTGAATGAAGCATCCACGAACCCATGGAGGAAGGCTGGTGAGAAACATTTGGTCATTGCCAGTCACAAGACCATGTGGGTGTCAGGAGGCAGGGCTCCCATGCCCAGACACTTTCTCACTCCTGGGGCAGAGCTTAGGTTCAGAATAAAAGGGCTGAGGAGCAGATCACCGGCATTCATTCACCTCCTGAGGTTCCCAAGGATCTTGTGCTGCCTGTCATCTTGGTAAGGCTTCATTGGGGGCAGGTGCAGGGACCAGACCAGAGGGAAGCTGTGAGGAGGACTGGACGGGAGGCTTAGCAAGACTCCAGAGCCGAGGAAACACACTGACAGAGCACAGAAGGAAGCGGGGATGAAAGGTGGGAGGAAGGAGGTGGCCAAAAAGATTTTGAAGCCATGGAAGGCAATAGAAGTAGCTGGGTACCTGTTACTTCTGAATCTGTGGAGGATAATATACCCTCCAGTGGAATTTCAGGATGGGAACATGCAATACAGAGAGCCATGGGCATTGATAGGCTTCGGGAGGAAAGCTCCCCTCTGCTAACACAACCCTGAGACAGCCTGCAAGGAAAAACTCACAGTGAGGGCATGAGATCTTTGGGTTTGGAAAGCACCCACAGCCTTGGATCTGGAATTTGAACACAGGCTGCTCAGAATTTTTAAGATACAACAGCACAAGACTTGTTATACCAACAAGTCAGCATGGTGTTGAGATGAGTTCAGACTTGCAACACGACCTGAATCTTACCCCAGGGAATAGATCAGTTAGGTCTTTTATTAAAGGGAGAGAGACCTAACTTTCAATCACCATTTTCCTCTGTGACATCATTAACATCATTAGTTCAGGAATCAGTGGAAATCCCATAAGAATCTCCATATGAACACAACAGCAGTAGATCAAGCCCAATGGCATTGTAAAAGATGTCCATGAAAGAAAAGCTGGGTAGAGGAGGAAATTATTCTGAATATGACTTCAGACTGTGAAATCTCTCAGCTTAAGACTTATAGGAAAGTGAGTTGGTTTTTTTTTAAGATTTATTTATTTATTTATTTATTTATTTATTTATTTATTTATTTATTTATTTATTATGTATACAGTGTCTGGCTGCATGTGTGCCTACAGGCCAGAAGAGAGCACCAAATATTATCCTAGATGGTTGTGAGCCACCATGTGGTTGCTGGGAATTGAACTCAGGACCTCTGGAAGGGAAGTCAGTGCTCTTAAGCCTCTGAACCATCTCTCCAGTCCTAAAAATGAGCTTTTATAAAGAATGAGCACCTCTTTTCTCCTATCAAAAGTTGCAAGATAACTTGCCTCTGCAGGCCAGTACTGCAAGGGCCTTGGGGTTTGTTAGAAATAAAACTGCTAAATCTGGAGTTTCCATGAATAACAGTGATGTTTAGAGGTGAATAAGCTGCCCCAGGATCCCGGGTCTGACGTGTGTGATACTCCCACAGCTCCTCAGCATCCACAAGCCGAGATGTCCTGCCAGCAGAGCCAGCAGCAGTGCCAGCCTCCTCCCAAGTGCACCCCCAAGTGCCCTCCTAAGTGCCAGACACCAAAATGCCCTCCTAAGTGTCCTCCTAAGTGCCCTCCTGTCTCTTCCTGCTGTGGTTCCAGTTCTGGAGGCTGCTGTGGTTCCAGTTCTGGGGGCTGCTGTGGTTCAAGCTCCGGGGGCTGCTGCAGCTCTGGCGGTGGAGGCTGCTGCCTGAGCCATCACAGGCCCCGCAGATCTCTCCGTCGCCATCGTCAGAGCTCTGGATGCTGTAGCAGTGGTGGCAGCAGTGGCTGCTGTGGCAGCAGTGGGGGCAGCAGTGGCTGCTGTGGCAGCAGTGGATGCTGTAGCAGCGGGGGCAGCAGTGGCTGCTGTGGCAGCAGCGGTGGCAGTAGCCAGCAGTCTGGGGGCTGCTGCTGAACTGACCCTTTAATACTTTAGTCAAGTCCTGCAGAGAGAAGCCATGATCAGAGATCTGCCCTGACATTTTGTTCTTCTCGCCTCCTGCTCCCCTCCGTGTCCTGAGCTCTGAGATGCTGTAATCTTGTCGGAAGTTCTGAATGTCCTCCTCTGATAAAGGGCCTGTCTTCTCTGTTACAAAATAATAAAGGTTTCTCTAACAATTTTCTCTCATTTCTTGATCATTTGACCACAAACATTTTTCAGATTAGCTTTGCCAATCAAGGCTCGGTGTTGCATCATGGGTGTGGGTTCATGTGAGTCCGTGGAAAAACGATACAGAGGCACCTTTAGAATGAGTTTAGCCTTTCTCAGCTGCAGGGTAGATGCTTATTCTATAAGGAATAAACCAATTCCCTTTTGCTCAGGGCTTCTTTTATTGTTCTCCAATTTACATCTTAGCAATTAATTTCCATATTTTCAAAACATCCCAAAGATGTTCCTAAGGGACAATGCCAAGTGCAAATTCTCAATTAAGGAGGTACTGTAGTTTTCTGGGGTTTTCCCACAACCAACTTTTGCATAGGCTTTGTTTTGCATAGGATAGTTTCTTGGGAAACTATCAAGCAAGATTCACATATAGGGCAGCAAGAGAAACAAGAGGTAACCAAGAATCAAAAGATGGTTGAGGGCTAGGGGCTAGCACTCTGGAGCCACCCCAGGTGTAGCCCGTGGGAATGCTCTCACAGCTCAGTTGTTCAGAAGATGGCTCAGAAGACTGAATCTGGGGGACAGTAGCAGGTTAGCTCACAGGGTGTGGACAGTGACTCTTCAGCCATACTTACTGCATACTGTGATGATCACTTTATCCACATGTTGTCCTTTCGTGTCATTGTGCTTTTACGGGTACATATCTGTTTTTCCTGGCTTCTTTTTTTTTACTCTGTTGTGTTAACAATCACTGTGCAGCATTTCCAACAGCTGGTCTGATGTGGGAGCTCAGCAGTGTGTAGAACATTCCACTGTGTGAAAACTCCTAACAAGTCATGTGCCCATTAAATGGGAGACATTTGGCTACTTATTGTCCATAAGCTTTGATTCCAACCTCTCCTCCCAGTGAGAATTACCTAGATGACTCACAGGACACATAGTGTCAGAGAACAACCACAAACCTTAGTAAAAAATTCAAGGAGTTTAAAGAAGTCACAAAGATAAAGGTCAATGAACTTCAAGGAAATAAACGCCTGAGTGATGCCCAAAGAAACAGAAACAACGCTGATGCAAACTACAAAGACAATCCGGTCAGGGATTTGAAAACTAACTCAAAACTGAGATTGAAACATTGAAGAGAACTCAGGCTGAAATGAAGGTGGAATGGAGAAACCCTTTAGTCCCACAGGGAAACTCAAGGGAAAACATGGAGAACAGAATGAATCAAACAGAAGGCAGAATCTCAGGATTCAAATTCAAAGTAGACAGTCTAGATCAACAGTTATCAACATGTGTGTCACAACTCCATGGGTAAACCTCTAGCTCTACAAATTTTATATTATGATTCATAACAGTAGCAAAATTACAGTTATGAAGTAGCAACAAATATAATTTTATGGTTGGGGTCACCACAACTGTATTAAAAAGCTGCAATCCTAGGAAGGTTGAGAACCATTGGTTTAGATGAAATAAGCAAAGAATACTGTTATACAATACAACGAAGTATGTATGCATATATAACTACATTACAGTGATTAAAAAACAGATGATATAGAGTTGAGAGGGATCAAGGCAAAGGTGTGAGGGGAGGGTTTGAGAGAGAAAAAGGGACAATGATAGAATCATATTTTCATTTCAGAAAATAAAGAATGGGTTATGAGACACTTTTGAAATTAATGAACAGAATCATCAAAAACAGGCATTTCTCTTTGACATTTGTTTGTTTCTATTTCTTACATGAAAACTTTCACTTGGGAATGGATAATACTAATCCTATTTTTCATGATCTCATTGTTTTGACAGCTACTAGAGAAGAAAAAAGATTAAAATACGCTTTATATCCTGAGTATTATTTAAAATGTTGGCTATGAAGACAAGATTCAATGAGTAAAAAATACTAATTTATCATGTTCTTGGTGATAGTTTGTAGGAGGAGGGCCTGCTTGTTTGTCCCAGCCAACCGGCTAGCTTATACCCAAAATAACCACACAGAAACTGTGTTAATTAAATCATTGTTTGGCCCATTAGCTCTAGCATCTTATTGTCTAATCTTACATATTAATTTAACCCATTTCTGTTAATCTGTGTATTGCTGCATGGCAGTGGCTTACTGGGTAAAATTCCCAGCATCTGTCTCTGACAGCTCCATGGCGTCCCTCTGCCTCCACCTTTCTTTCTCCCAGCATTCAGTTCTGTCTTGTCCACCTACCTAAATTCTGTCCTATCAACAGGCCAAGGCAGTTTCTTTATTCATTAATGATAATCACAGTGCACAGAAGGGACTCCCACATTAATGGTTCTGAAGGTGATCCCAAAGAAAAACATAAAGCTATCCTCCTGATTATGGGAAGTAGACAAGATTGCCGGGCAAAAAAATGGAATCTTGGGGGTGGGGTGGGAGGGGGGTAA